TGTGATCCCACAGTGTGGCATGTCTTCAGGATTTGGGGAGATTTGGGATGTGAAATTCATTTTCATTGCTTTAATTCACTAATCTGAGACTAAAAGGGTGTATTGGACATGCTGTGCTAGAAGCAATTGTGAATTTGTCCCCCAGGAGAATTCAACTGTATGCGAACTGGGTTCTTGCCAGTAAAAGTTTGGATACAAGGAAATAGAAAAAGGCAATTCTTCTCTCTGCTCCCCTTCCAGACTGAAGGATTAATATCAATCTGGTTTATGCGGCAAACCAGTGAGCACCATACATAATACTATTTTGTAATCGAAACTGCCTAAGAAGGCAAATACGAAGCGCCAGTCCTCCTCCCGCCCCTAGCCTGACTTTGGGAGTCTGATTCAGGAGACTGTGTGTTATGTGAACTGGACATTATGTGAGAGACATACAATTAAATACAATGCAAGTACTATACTATTACTTGAGTTCATCATAATTCTCCCCTCTCCCAATAAGATGAACTTGGAAAGAAACCTTTGACTCCCCCATCTTGGGAGATTCAGAATGTACAATTTTCCATTCTCCAAAAGATTCCTGAACATCAGTTAACTCCGCAGAAGCTTGTAGCTATTGAGTTCAATGTAAAATTTCAGAATTAGACACGTAAGAGGAACTGAGGAAGAAATAACCCATGTAAAATGGGATGCATGCCTACCAACCATCTCCCTATGCTGCTCTTAAACCTCAGAGGACATTGGGAAGTAGTTTGCAGATAGTACATGTACAGCTTAGCATCTTTCAGAAATGTGTTAAGTGCACAGAGTATCTGCTTGGGTTTGATTCCATTTAACATTAAAGGAGAGTGGATAATTATAGATCTGATAAGAAAATAGGTTTTGAGAGTGATTCCCATTACCTGGAAAGAACACTTGACAACTACAAAACACACACACAATTGTTTCCAAGTACTGGAGGACATGCATCACACTGTGGATCACTGTAGCAAATAATATACTGTTTAATGTGTTGTTGAAGGCTTTCATGACTGAATTGCTGTGAGTTTTCCAGTCTGTATGGCCATGTTCCAGAAGCATTCTCTCCTGATGTTTCACCCATGTCTCAAACAGACAAGAGTTCTTTCTCCCACCCAGGACATTCCACAGATATATAAGCCCCACTTGCTGTGTTTCCAACAAACCTCACAATTTCTGAGACTGCCTGCCATAGATATGGGTGAAACATCAGGAGAGAATGCTTCTGGAATATGGCTATACAGCCCAGAAAACTCACAGCAACCCAATATACTGTTGTCTCCTTTGCACTTAACAGTATTTGCTACAGAAAACACTAGTGCAAAACTGAGCTCACATCAGTCTGTATTCCATCACCTGGTTCCCGTTTGATCTTCAGCTAGTTGCTTATATCACTCATGTTCACATCTTAATTATGGTAGAAATAGTCATGACTGGGATGGATCCAGAATTAGATAGAAAAGAGCCATCATAATTTCTTCCATTTATATCAAATATATTCTAAGTGAAACAAAATCTGATTGCAATCTATTGTCTTCAGAATATGCCACCCTCTCCCACATCCTCATTTAAAAGCCCATTACTGTATGTAGGAATATTTGGAAATTCATGCATCCAAAGATGAGAAATTAGACTTCTACCATAAGTGGCTACTGAGTTGATGGTTATAATAACCCCTCAATGAAGCATGAATGTCACAGAAATTTCGCCCCTCCCCTAGTTTTCTCTGAACCTGACAATTGTCTCTTCTACAAGGATGAAAATATGCCACAGTATTTGTAACCAATAATTAAGGCAAAAGTGAAGTGACTCGAGACCTGTACAGCCCAGCCTTTGAAACTAATTCACAAAATTGTAGTCTATACACATATATTTCTTACACTCCAGTACAAAATGGATTACTTACTTACTTAGCAGTACATTCCATCCAATTTAATTCAAAAGGACGTATTTCCACCCAAGGGTTTCAAACTGGGGTGTGAGCTACTTTGCTGAGAAAGAGATCAGAATCAAAATTCTACTATGTATTTAGTAGAAGAACTAATTAATTGATGTCATGAGGGGATTATTCAACAAAATATAACATGCCCGAGCATCCGTTCTGAAAATGGATGATATGTATATAAATGAGGATGCAATGGTGCCTCCTTTGATGAAGAAAATAATGTTAAATGGCCTATAATTAACTTATTACAACCAAATGTTCGGTTGTTTTACTTGTATGCTGCTTTTGATTTTGCCATGACTTTTCAAAGCTTGATAAAACTAAAGGAAAACTCCACGTGTTTGCAAAAAAATATGATTTCATCAATTTATAAAATGCAATAATCAAACAGTTATGGAATAATCAAAAGGAAGTTCTTATGTTGTTTGATATTTCTGCAAAGATTTTCAAAAGCATTATTGGGAATGTGGCAATGCCATATCTTTGAATATTTAATTGAATTTCACTGAAATATCTTTGAGTTTGATTATAAAGTCAAGATTATTTTAAATTGTTGATTTTATTTTTAATAATCATGGTTTGCAGAAAGGCATTATGGATTTCATATGCATATCAGTATATTTTAGAATTTGTAAAGTCAGTCAGATTTAAGAACATTGCAATGAAATCATATTAAGAGGAAATAATCTTACATTATTACATCTTACATTATTAGATATTACAGTTAGGATTAAATTCTTATTTAGAATATTAAATAAAGCTCTATTCTTAAATAACCAAGCTATGCACCTCCTGATACTAAGTAGTAGTAGTTGGAAATTTTATTGATTAGCCCTTAGGTCATATCACAATACCAAACCCAACAAAAAGGCTTGATAAAACTTAATGACACTTTATATAGTAAGTTAAGTAAAATACTTATAACAATACAGTAAATAGATATGATAAAACTGAGTATATACATCATGTTTCCATCTCACCCGTACGATTTACTCCAATCATCCCCAAATATGTGGTTCTCAGACATATTGCTTTGCTAAAAAGCAGAGCTATTTTATATGTTATTTTTGGATCTTGGCCACACATAAAATATGTTGTTCTGATGTGGGATTCCCAATAAATGATACTAAGTAGTAAATGTCCATCTCTCCCTTTCCTCTTCCTTTCTTTCTTTTTTTAAAAAAACTTATATTAATTTGAAGAAGAAAAAAAATCCATTGACTGAAGTGGGTACACATACTACAAAGGAATACATTTTGGACTACAGTTACAAAAGTCCCCGTCAAGAAACCTTTTAAGTGCATTCAAGATTCGAAGTTACATTTTGTGGAATCTAACACTGTTCAAGGGTAAATAAACCCCAGGAATATTTAAGTCACTCCATTGGAGTATCAATGTAATTGAATAATTAAAAATGCAATAGGCTAATGAAAGAAAAACAATGAGATGTACGCATGATCTGCTCTTGGCAAGAATAAAGTAAAAATGAAAAAAAAAGTTTGTCTTTTTCTATATCTTTTAGGAAGGGAACACATGCCCCTCTCCATAGCCTATTCTTTTAAAAGTGACTCACTCAAATCTTTTGTTGAAGAATATCAAAAAAAGAAATATCTGCCTCAATCAATGTAGTCACATAAATTCTGGACAAAAACAAAACACAAGAAATGGGGGGAAAGTGAGCTAAAATGATGTTACATAATTGCGTGAATGAATGCAGCTCAAAATGTTACTTTTGTCTTGTTTCTCCTGCAGAATAAATGCCTGAGTGACTTCAAAAAGCAGAGGAAGTGTTAATCTGCATCTCTTCCCCCTTTCTTCTCCTTAACTGTTTAGGATATATCAGAGTGTGTGTCGGTACAGCATTTTAAAAGTCACTTTCGCTGTAAGAGTTTATCACAGTATGTGCACACATCTGCGCCCACACACAAATACCAGCTATCTATCCAGATCAAGCAAACATCCAATAAAATATGTACTGTGCAATGCAAAAATGGTTTCAAAGATCTGAAGACAACCCTGATGACAGTCTGTATTACTGTTCAGTTCACCAAGGCACATCTGCAAAACAGACGAGAGACGTATCTGTAAATCTTCTCTAGCATGCGAAAGGTAAATGGTTTTCATTTACTTGAAATAATGTGTGAAAACATATCGGCATTTTTAGAAAAAGTTACCTGTGATGGATTCTGCAGATAGTCTATGTTTATCCGTAATTCATCAGTATACATCATTTACTTTTCTCATTTGCCTTAAATAAACTGATACTGTATCTTGGATCACGAGAAAGGAATAACCACAGCATTCTGAGGCAGTGCTATGAAGATACATGCCTCAAAATAAAATATACATAATACTGCTTGACTATTTTCTAGTGGTCATTATTTGTACATATACATGCATATGGACTAATGCAGATTCTTTAATTCTCTTAACTTGCTCTATTTTTTCTTATTGATATTTGTATTACAATTTGTAATTGTAACTGAGATTTAGAAATGGAAGATTTTAGGACATGTGGAGTTATTTTGAACTATTTTTTTTTAAAAAAAGATTAAATCCATATTTGGCCTCCAGTGCATTGCTCTTCACTATATGCTCTTGGTCTCTCTTAAAAATTAAAGAAGTTACCTTCAAGGACGCTGTGTGCCACAATCCCTTGCTGGACTCAGAAACAAGTCCGGCAATCTAAAAATAATCAGTTATAGGCTGATTTACAGCTTTCCTACTCTACAATGTGGAAGGAGAATGTACCAAGAATAACATTAATATATCATATATCATGAGAAGAAATAATGGTGGTCTAAAGTGTGCCCCCAAAGCATTCACTCCACCTAAGGAAACTCAAGGGCATGTATTGCTGAGAGAAAACTAATAAGGGTCAACTCTCATTAATATATTTAAGAGGTTAACTGTGCTATGAGTTATGAAGGATGACATTCAAGTAGTGATCCTTTCTTTTTCTCCTGCAGCTCATTTGCAAATTCTCTCATTGTATTGTTTTTCTCCTCCCAATTTACATTCAAATATTGTTTGAACATACCTTTTCTTGTAGTGTCACCAATTTGACAAATAAGATACAAGTGTATCACGCTGCTTCAGACTTTCTTTCATTAAAGCATCTCAATGAAGAATGAAAACATGTAAGTAATCATTGGAAATGGCCTTAGCAGTGGCTCTAAAAGATCAACTGAAAAAAGATCTGGCAGAAGAGTAAACGGAGAAGTAAGATGTCGGGATTATTTTAAGACAGATGCTTTTTGAAACTGGAAGAAGGATACCTCGCACAGACCCCAATTCCAGCCAGTCCCTCACACAGGAGGTATTTTATCTTCACATCTGGACCTGTCAAAGAGGCGCAGTTGTACACCTTCCCAGATGCAGACACCCTATACATAAAAATGCACTAACAAATCATACCATAAAGAGAAATGGTACGACACAAATGTGAGATGTCCAAGAAAAAAGACTCTAGGAGTAATGGAAATGTGTGTGTGTGTGCCTTCAGGGAAATAAATGCCCCCCAAATTCCTAGGCCATTTTAGAAATTTTGGAGAGCCTAATAAAGTTTGTATCTTCCTTCCAGATTTTTCTGTAGATGATGACTGACGAGATACTTTCTTCAGAGCGAAATATTTCTTGCCCTACATCAGGGTGATGGTTTGTTGGGTTTCCTTTCCTTTCCTCTTATTTTTACATGTTCTTGGAGTTGTGAGCAGAAGGAGAATGTTTTTATTTATAACTGAAGAAGGCTTTACATTATGTTATGTAACACAAATTGGTCACCTTCTTAACAGACTCCTCAATGCCACTATGAAAAATAAAATTATTGATAATGTCCAGTTTTTAACATTCATTATTGTTGATCCTTATCAGCTCTTCAGAAGAGGATAGAGGTTGATTAGTAATCTTTTTTCTCAATATACACCATAACTCTTATCCTATGTCCATTATGTATTTACAAAGAGCAAAGTCCTAATCAAAAGACTGGAAAATGTATCCCTAATATACCACTTAGAACTTTGGAATGTATCTCTGACAGATCTAGACAATTGCTATTAAATGTTTCGGCATAAGGTTTATAGATTTCTCGAAGTACATTAAACATGATACAATTGTTGCTTGCTTCCTGAAAAAGAGCCTGTCTGTACAGTCCTAGACAAAGGAGAGCCGTGAGCCAGCCTTTGTGGGCTCGGTTCTCCAACCCTCATCACCCCCCCCCCACCAGCAAACCACGGCTGCACTTTGGTGCACCCATTGCCTCCTGACTAGAGCATGTTCTCTATCCTTACACCTGACTTAAAATTAATTTCTGACAAACTACGTGCCACTCCATGGAACTTGAGCAATTTTGTATGCCAAGTTATATTGAATGAGATGATGGGGCTGTAAAACTGGGAGAGGGATTAGCTATGGGTCAAATGTTTAGCCATCTGGATTTTCCATGAGCTAACCTGAATTTTTGACACCTCTCTTTAGGCTAAATCTCAGGCAAAGTGACTTACAAATTATTCTTCCAGGATAGTTTATTTTATCTTCTCCCTACCCCTCCTTTTTGCCTTTGAAAGTTTACCCTAGTGTACATGAGGAACTGCACTGCTCCACCACCCTGTGGTAATTTTATGCCATGACATACATTCAGTCTCAAAAGGCCTACTTCTTGAAAGACTTTGCCTTTTAATAAGTGCTTTGTAGCTGCTTCTAAACATTTAGAGAGAAAAATGTTTTTCTTTCATTGTTATAGGTAATATGCAGACATAGACTTAGTGAATGAATGAAAATCTGTCACAAAGTGGAGGAATGCTATTAAATACTTTGAATTGCTTAAACTCATTAAAATACATTTGAGACTCTCTCAGCTTTTTCCCCTTGCATAAGATTTCTTTTATTATACTTTGTAAACCAGATGTTGAACTTGCTTAGAAAGGCAGCTTTAAAAACAAGCCACAAAATGCAAGATAGAAGTTGTATAGTCCATTGAAAGGGTACCTTGGAAAACAAAAAATAACTCCTCAACTTGTTTCAATCCCACCCCAAAGCTCATGCATAAAGTTATTGATGTTTTCTCACTGCAAGCATGTTTTCTTTACAACTTTCCCACTTGTTATATATAGCAGATGGTGTTCAAACAAATCAAGAAGGAGAAGAGAAGAAGTTCCAGAAGTGGAGGGGTGGGGGTCGGGATGAAGACGGTGGAGAAACTCAAATATTTCTTCAGATGATAAGATGAACTGCAGATGGTGAAGGACAGGAGAAAAACAGACCACAAAAACGCAGGGGCTTTGACAAGTCTACTTGTTGGCAAGATTGGACCATTGTAAGAGCTGTCGCTGCATGATTTATGAAGGTTATCCTCTGTGTGAAAGGGTGCTGAAGGAAGTGCATTTCTGTCCAAGCAAACTTGGTTGACTTTGCTTGTGTCGATTGGAAATTTTTGAGGATGTTCATCAAAGTGCCCCACTCATCTGTCTGTTGTCCATCTTGTGCCTTAAGCTTTTCCAGGAGGAAGAAAGATATTCAAGTAGCATCAATCTTTCAAAGTTGGGACCCCCATATTGTCATGCTTTTGCCTTTCGCCCACCTGGTTCTGAGCAGGGCTGGTAGAAGGCTGTCTTTGTCTGACACCTGCAGTCCAATGAATCCTAAATGAAGCATGACAAAGGCACTTGGAAACACACACATATACACATGTTGCCTGTTAAACAGCTTGAAGTCATACACAAAGCAGAGGGTTCAAAAGTACTAGGTTACAAGGAAGAAGGAAAAAGCCCAACCTATAACAGTACACTTAAAAATAAATTTCAAGAATATACTTGATAATGCTGCCAGAAACCTATAATTAGCAACATTTATCTGAAGAAAGTTGCACCCTGATGTGTAAAGTTTTCTGTATTTTTTTTTAAAAAAGCATCTACCAAGAAGCAGATTTTTAGGACAGGTTGAAACTTGACTGTAAATATTTACTCTGCACTGACGCTTTGGTATACAAGGTTACAGCCTGAAAGAAAATATTTCTTTCAAATGCATGGACTTTCCCATTTGTAACTTATTCAGACAGCTTGGCTCCTTCATTCAAACAACAGCTGATACCATCTAGAAACACACACATAGGATCACAGATGGAAGAGCAGTTGTAATAATGCTTCTATCAAAAGATTGACTCTGTAGTCAGTTTGGTGAGCTTTATAAGGAGCACAGATTGCCATCGTCACATGGCACTACCAATAGGGTGTTGCAAATAAAATATGCTACTCTGAGTGTTTAGGGAAGAATATTGACTACTATTCTTATTTATTTATTTATTTATTTGGAGCCCTGATTTCTTGGTACAGAAAATAGATTCAAATACCTCAAATAAACACATGCATAAGTACATATCACGTTCAATCAAGGGGTGTGTGCTATCAGTATCTATGTGGTTGTCACCATGTGCGTGAGAGGGACAGAAAAGTTCACAAGGCGTAAATGCCGTGCTCTTCAAAATATCAAACACTATATTGTAAAATAAGCTCTTTTCAAAGATTACTTAGATGTACCTTATAATAACCAAAAGTATAGCCCTTACTGAGCAATAAATTATACATAGTATGAGACTGGGTGCGTGCATGGAAGAATGTGCACACATGCAGGCACATGAATATCCTCCCAACTGATGGACTTCAGGCGTCCTCCTGGGCAGTGGCAGATTGGGTCTAAAAATATTGGTTGCCAGAAGACAAAGGGGGCCCACCCATAACTATAAGGCTATCATTTAATTTAATGTAAATATAAGGCTATCATTTAATTTTTATAAGAAATAGTAAAGATCTGAGCCTATATAGCAAACTTCTCAGCCTCAAATAACCCTAATTGGAATTATTTTTTTAGAGTTATTTATTGTAGTCTTACACATAAAATCTTCAAAAATGATTTATTAAATTTTAAAATTAAATTAGTACTAGAGCATAAATTTTAGTTTCATATAGTAATAATATTGGACTTCTGTTATATAGGGGGCCATTTGCCATTAGACAAGTTGACACCCTGGCCACTCCACCACTGCTGCTGGGCACTGGCTGGCTGCCCTTGGACACCTAGAAAAGCATTAGCTGCTAACTACCTTGTTTGGTGTCCATGTGTGAACACTTTTTCCGCTTCCCTCAGTGAATTAAGAAAGTGGGATGAGACAGACCCCCATTCCACAACCCTGAAGGCAGTCAATGTCTAATCAATATTTACACATGACAGGGTTGGACTGGATGGCCCTTGCGTTCTCTTCCAACTCTATGATTTTATGAAGTGGAGCTGCACTCAGGAGCCTCCAGGTGCCCTTGCAAATGTATTGCACAAGGAAGTACAATAGGTCCTTGGTATCCACTGGGGAGGGGTTTGAGGATGTCCCATGGATGTCAAAATCTGTGGATGGTCAGGTCCCATTATAGACAATGATATATTAAAATGATGCACTTTATATACAATGCTATGTCCCCACAGCCAGAGAAGAGTCATACAATGTGGCAAAATTGCTTCTTAATGAACTTAGAGAACACTGAGAGACATTTCAAGACATCTTTTTGGTTTTGATATGGAGACAATCAAGAGGGTAGCTCCCCCCCCCCCCCCAAGTTTCCTACAGCTCAATGCCCCCCCCCCCCCCATATTGATTCAGAGTGCTCAGGAGAGTACACTTCTAGTTCAAGAAGGAAAAAAATAGAGAAACCAATTCAGATGATCTTCAAGAGCAGAAGAATAGTTAAATCAATTTAAGGTCTAAACACAAAATATAGTCCCAAGAGAGTCAGATGTCCATCATGGAATAACTGAAGAGAAGAGTTAAAAAAGCAAGCTGAAAATTTAAAAACTATAGAGCAGGAAATGCCAAGGTAACGGAGCTGCTGTTCCACAGTACTTTGTTGTGCCAACTTATCCAAACATACCTGCCTCATTGGCCAGCATTTTCTTAGGGATACTACAGCCTTACTTGTGCTTTTGCTGCTGATATAGAAGATGAAGCATTTTAGTCTCCAGCTTCCTCTCTTCGTGGTCAATCTGTGATGGTCTAACTCAGCTTCCAAGGCAGGACTGCCAATCTCCTTTGGCTCTGATGGGAGCATGTTATCTGGACTAACCTCTTCGCCTGAATCATCTGAGGAGGCACAACATTAGACTCCCCAAACTTTAGCCATTTCCCACTCCCTGCTATGTATGATTATGTATTGAAGACAAT